GTGAATCGTTCGTTGTGAATTATAGCGTTTGTTTAAGTTAAACTGACTGTGGGAATTAAGTGTATTGCAAAGTTGTGTTCAAAAAGAATAAACTAGTTTTATTTAAGGAAGGACTTGTATTGCTGAAGTTTCTCTGAAAGAATTTCTACGGAAAATTAACAAACGAACACAGAGACGTAACAATACAATAATTTACACTTCCTACCTTTTTCTTCAAATTCATCTCCTTCAGCTCGTAAAAGTTGTTTGACAATTTTGTAAGGGTGACCAATTTTTTGCTCCAAGTTATTTACTGCTTCCAAGTCAGCTTTCTCTGTTTTGATAAGGAATTTATTAATTTTACTGAACCATTAATTTTAACTCTAACTGCATTTGCTTCGAAATTAGTTTTCATAAAAAAATATTAATAAAACTGTTTTCTTAGTTAATACCAAAACTGTAGTTGTAAAACAATTTTTGGGATTTTTTTTGTATGCTATTTTACTAACTGGTGTTTCCATTAATTCAAATGGGCAATAATATCAGTTAAATCATAAATAATGGTTGAGATTTGATATACATACTATTTTACCAAGACCCCAATCCTGTTCTAGTTTATTTAATTTTGAAGGACATTTAATTGAGACTATTCCATTTTTTACTACCACCCTAACTAGTTTTCTTATACATTCACTATCCTCTTAAACTCACCCAATTATACAGCTTCTATAACAAATAAAAGTAATCTATTCCACAGCTTGACTACCTTTTGCTTTCATTGGAATTATGTCTGAAGTTCCATATTTTAAATTCGTGTCCTCTAGTCTTACTGCCTATATATTTTTTGAAAATGACATCTATATATAAAAAAATCTAAATATCTAACAATCCTATAAACCTCAGTCATGTCTACCAGAGCCTCTCTGGCAAAACACTAGTGGTGTTAATCACATGTAACTCGTTAAGTTGCAGCTGTAGGGCTTCTGCCATTATGGCTCAGCTACTTGAGATGTTTGAAACAACATGGCAAAAATAAAAGTAACCCTCATAGTATTTCAGTGTAGTTGATGGTCTGTTTGAAAGTCATAGTATCATAGTATATTATTACTGGTAAGAATAAATCAGAGGAAGCCCTGGAATGAAGCTCAGAATAGGGCTACTATGGGGAAAATGTTACAATGGTGACAAAAACATGCCAAGAAATTTCAACCTGGGTCATCCAGGTAGCTCTTTGAATCTGTTTCAACAACTCAACATCCTGTTTAAATAATTATAATGCAACTAAAATTGAACACAATATTCTAAAAGACATTATCCAGTAACGTATACAACAAAAACTACTGACCTCATTCAATTTCTGCTTACTTTGAATTTATTCAACAACAAACTTCATTTACTAAAAGGACAATGAAAATTCTGAAAAGTAAGAGCGTTGATGGCTAATATTATATAAATACTTGGAATATAGTGTGCTGTACTAAAACAGTAAAAGGCAAAAATAAATATAGTACCGAATTTATCTAGAATAAGTAAGAGTTAATGAGTAATAGAAAATAACATTTGGTAAATGTCACAAAATGAACATTTCATAATAAACAAATGTCAAAAATATTGTAAATAGAGCTGATACTCAACTGATGGCTAAGAGCATGCTAATCATTACGTATTTGAGTCTTTTTGTGTACTAATTTATTATTATATTATATTCAGTTTGTTATACAGCAATGTCTTTATTTTCAATTACAAGTTAATTTTAAAGTTATTTTAATTCTGAACTCCCTAGTTAGCTTACTTTTATAAGTTATTAATAATTAATAAACGTCAAATTTACTGCATTGTTTGTCTGGGAAAGTAACGATTATTTTTAATCTTCTAAAGCACATGTACTGGGTTCATAGGTAAGGCAATTGCAAACCATAATGCTCTTGGGTTTAACTTACTAACCTCGAGATGTTTCCGAGATGAGGGTAGCAGCATGCAACTTAAGAACTTCAACCTTTGACCCAACAAAATCTGGCTCCTGTAGGTAGGGCTTTTTCTCTTGTAACTGTTATTTTATAAGAATAAAAACACTTAACCTCCTATGATAGACACTCTGATAAATATCACAATATTAAAACGGTAATTATCACCAAGTCTTCCATGTTCTGAAAGAGAGAGAATTCAGGATAAACAAGCTTACTTCAAGTTTGTAGTCCATATTTGCTGTGTACAAATCTTCCAACGACTGGTCATTACCATCACCATCATCCACATTTCTTCTTCGTTTTCGTCTTTTATCACCATTTGGGCGATGATACACAGATATAACTGTATGACCACCTATCAAAAATATTCATATGCTAATAAAACATTAAAAGAGCAATTTTGTTGCAAACGTTCATCAAAATGTTACATGTATGACAGAAATTAGTGATTATACATGTGTTGGGTCATCATTCTTTCATTGGCAGGTTCTTTTAAAGTATCTAGTGAAAATAATTCAAGTTATCATTTTCCTAATCTGAAAATGTATTATCAAACATACTTACCTCTTCTGACGCTTATAAGTTGTAGCTATTTCTGGATCTTCATCTAAACATTGTGTTCGCTTGCCCCAGTCTTATACTCCAATCGACTGCCCTCGGCTGTATCTAATTTGCAAAACTTTACACCTGGCCTCTTATGCAGGTATTGTATATAAACACTGTATGTCGACAATATAATCTTTTTTTTTTAAATCTTACTCCATCCCGGCCTGTCTCTTAGTGGGGAGGAAGGGAAGGAGAGTATCAGCGGAGGTAAGTATGTTTGGAAACATATTTTCAGATTAGGAAAATGATAACTTCCAAAACATACAAACCTCTGCTGACACTTTTAGCTAGAATTCCACATTGATAAGGCGGAGGAGCCAGTGAGGGCATAGATCATACAGAAAGCTTCTGCATAGAACAAAGGTGTACAATGAGAAGTGGTACCTAAGGGTGGAATATTGCACAAGTAAGTATGATGGGTCAGCCTCAACCACGCAGCCAAGGTTCCACGATTCAGGGCTGGATTTAAGGGGTCATATTACCCATATCCTCCGTTGGTGACAATGGCAGTTGGACTGCAAATATATACACATTTTTGTGACAGGACCCCCCTACCAGCAGCTACGTAATGATGCTTTAAGATCAGCAGGGACTGGCAAAATCCCTTTTAGCTTTACTCATGATAGTCCATGAGTAGCAGTCTATTGGATTTGTATTGTGAGATAATACCACCATCCAGAATTGCTTCTACATGGTCTTATGGAACACCTCATCTCAACAGAGCCTGTTGCAACCATGAACCGATATAAAGGTTGCTAGTGGGGAATTGAAAAAATACAAGCACACCTGACTGGGCAATACTTGCTACTGAGTGGGATCCAAAGGAAATAAAGAGGGACCCTAGAACAAAAAAACTGTTAATCAGGTAAGAATATTGCACATCTTCTTGTTAAAATCTAGCAGAGGTAGTCAACATGGCCATGGGGGGGGGGGAGTCACACAGAAGAGGAAACTGCCAGATCGTGAAGGTAATGAGATTGGAAAGTGTTAGGAGAAGTTCACATACCAGCCTGCAAAATATCCCCCAGAGAACAGTTCAGATGAGTAGACAATGACATTGATAGATGCCGAATCTGGTGAAGAGCGATGTGGAGTATATTTCGATCTACAACAGATAACCTCGAACAGGCAATAGGAATCAACTCCCGAAACCCACTGGTTAATGTAATTAGTGATAAATTCAGGGACACTGCAGGATCCCATTAAATATAAAGCTGGTGCATAGGGCCCCTGAACAGTTCCATACAAGCCACAGAACATCTAAGTGCTCTGACTGGTCACAAAAGAACTGGGTATGATAGATTGTAAAGATAAGACATGCCTGGGAAAAGAATAGGAAAAAATAATTTATTCCTTTCTCTGACAGTAAGAGTATTCAGTAGGAAGGATCTGTCTGGATACAGCAAACAATAGGATAGATAGAGAGTCTGCTGAATGGCAAATAAATCAGAACAGCTGTGTCCAGAAGCTAACAACAATAAAAATATACCTCGAGGGAAAGGTGATACAAAGAACAGGAGGTCATAGGTTTGAAGGGATAAAGTGATAAAGCATGAAAAAACAACTCTAAGGTCCCAATTAGGCAATTGAAATGGTCGTTTGGGATGAAGAATGTGAAAGGATCATAAAATGAGATAGCACAGGAGTCAAATATTTTCGTATATGTAGAAAAGTGAAAGAGAGCAGCGAAGGATGCTATATATAATGCAAGGTAGAAGCCAAACCTTTCAAAAATCCATGTCAAAAAACTTGAAACTAAGGAGACTGTTGGGTGAAATGGGTTGAAGGCTCACCGAAGACATTAGTGAAAATATGTAGTCCCTTTCCATCGATAAATTGCCATAGTAGGTTGATGGAGGATATAGTCAAATAAATATAAACTGTATAATATAAACCCCTGTGGTCGGGCAAAGGACTGCATAACTTCCATGCATGAAGCTGGAGTCTTTAAACTTCCAGGTGTTGAATGTTGGACTGAGGTTGTCTCAACAAGGATGAATGAAGTGGTAGTGATAAACATTCTTGGAGCAACTGAAGAATAGGAAACTATGTTTAAGCAGACCAAAAAGATGCTGACAACAGAACCCAACATGGGGTGAAATTAATCATAGACAAGAATCTGGCTAAGAGATGAATAGGAGGAAAGGCATACAAATGGAATTCTGTCCAGTCTTGACTGAAAGCATCTAACGCCAGAGCTTGAGGATGTAGAATTGGAGACCAGAACTATAGCCTAGCATTCCAATGGGTTGCAAAGGTGTCTGTCATTGGAGAGCCGAACTGAGAACAAATTCATTGAAAGACCACCTGATGGAACACTCATGCTGGTGGAACAATCTGATGGGATCTAGAAAGGTGATCTGCTATCAAAATCAAAACGCCTGTAACATGACAGGGCAAAAGATGGATGTCATTGGAATTAGCTGAAAAAGAAGATCTAAATCCCAAAAACCAAGACCTCAAGAATGAGAACTTCCCTGACGAGAAAAATATGAAACCACTGTGGAATAGTCAGAATGAATCATGATCATTTTGTCATGCAATAGAGGAAGACCTGTAATCGTCGCTAGATGTACTGCAAGAAGTTCGAGAATGATGATATGCAGGGCAGATTAGTAGTTGGTCCAAATACTCTGGAATGCCTACCTTCAGAACAAAGGCACCCCATCTGTTAAGAGAAGCATCCATTAAGAGACGGATTTCTACACAAGAAGGTGGTATCCAGACCCTGATATTCGTGTTGTTCCTGTCTAGCCACCATTTGAGATCAGCAAATTGTTTGAGGAAAGTGACTGTGTGATTCAAAAGATCGGTATGCATGAGCCATAGGCCGCGAAATGACCACTGAAGGGATCTCATATGGGCCCAATCCAATGGTATGAAAGATTCTAGGAAAGCCCAAATCCCCAAAATGGACAGAACCATCCATGCAGTGTGAGAAGGTGACATAAGCAAATGCCTGACAATCCATTCCTTAGCATGAAGTCTGAGGGGAGAAGGTTGAGCTCGACTCAAAGTGCATTGAAAAACACCACAAGATGAATCATGTATGGAGTTGGTTAGAGAATGGATTTTTCGAACATGATATGAAGTCCGCTCTTCTGGCTTTGAAAAGGAGAATCTGCGGATGTAGTGTGGCAACGTAAGAGGTTGGTGTCAAAAGAAGCCAATCTTACAAATATCATTGTGTGTGCAGACCCAAAAAATGAAGATGCTGCTCAAAGGCCCATACTACTTGGTAGAAAACATATGGTGCTGAAGCAAGTCCAAATGTGAAAATTTGGAACTGTTACATGTGGTCCTCATGCAAAATATATAGAAATCGACAAGAAGACTCTGCTATGGGGATGTGAAGGTAGGCGTTTGTAACATCAGACTTGGTTATCCAAAGATCTGGTGTGAAGTGCCATTGAAGCTGAAGAAAATATTCCATGGTAAAACGAGGAGGCTGTAGGAAGAGATTGAGTTGAGACAGATTGATGGTAAGATGCCAATCTTTAGTGTTCTTGGTCACCATAAAAAGATGAGAATAGAATTCTGGATAAACGGGATCGACCTTCTGGATGGGTAGACACCGACGCCACTGGCGCCATCCCGACCTTCCGAGAATACGGACGAAACCGATTCTGTAAACCAATAGGACGAGGTGTCGAAAGTGGGGGCCGCAAGACGCGAATGATTTATCCTCCAAAATCACCTGTTGGAGCAGAAGAGAGGCAAGCAGCCAATGATGATAAAGAAAACTGCAAACGTGCTATATAAAATCGGGCTTCGAAAGTTTCAGGGACTCCAGCAAACTAGTAAGGCCGAAAAAGGGGCGTCTCCCGGAAATCACGAAGAGGGGTATCGTAATACAGTAGTAAGAGCTAAATGAATCCGCGAAAATGGAGATCTGGTAAGAGGGATAACATGTTCTAACCTGGAACCCCATAGCACCAACAACAAATCCATCTGTTGAGTGTCCAAATATACTACAGCTAGATGATGATAAGCCAGGGCATGTTGTTCTGATAAATGAGGGGAGCAAGGCATAGCAATACTCTCTCGTAATGGTATTACAAACATCCCAGCATACACGGTAATATCAGGGGAAGGAGGAAGAATCAAGTAATCCCCCAGAGATCTATCTGACAACAAGGCAGGGTAGACTCAAAAGCAAGGGAGTGAATCCCCAAAGCTTCACAAACTCGTGTAACTAACTGTAGAAAAGAGGCAGAAGGTGGCCAATCAGATGAGCTCTCAGTAGAGGCAGCTCTAGTGTATTAAAGGAGCAGAAAACAATGTCTAAATTCTCCTCAGTATAGTCAGGTTCATGATGAAAAGCCAAATATGAAAACCCGGGAAAAAACCCCGGGCCACATGAAGGACTCCAACTCATCCCGAATCAGGCCATGGACAGCCTCCATCGAGGCTATAACGTTTCTACAAGCTTTAACACTTATATACTGTTGCTGTAGTTCTGTGTTACAATTGACTTTCAAACCTCTCTAACAATACTAATATTAACGTAAAATCAACTAACGTATAAGTAACCGTGATAGCTGACTGATTCACTGATTTCACTCTACTATCTTTGCACCTATCTTGTACTTATAATCTGGCTTCGAATATACAAGAAAAATTTGACTTTAACTTAGAACTTTCTAAGCATTCTAACCTTATCGTAACATCAAATATACAAATTATAACACTGAAAATATATATCTTATAACACGTATATATGAAATAATTCCACAAGGAGACTCCTATCTTTTTAAAAATTTAAACCAATTTGAAATTACATGAAATCTTAAAACTTCAGATTATTCCACAATTTCATAATAATTAGTAAAATTAATTATTTACTGATGGTTGAGGGTGGGGATATCTCCAGCAATAAAATCATTCTTGATGCTCAAAGGGTACACAAAATTAAATACGGTTTATCACAATCTGTAAGAGTAAGCTTGTTTGTGTAAGTGAAAACAATTTCTCAACAAACCCAAGATAGTGTAATATAGGTGTTCATGTTCATTTTAAAGGCAAAGAAAACTAAAGGCTGGTAAATTCATGTTTATGTTAGCCCAAAATTATTTTACCACTTATTTATTTTTCTGACGGTTAGCCTAGATGTACTTGTACAAATTAGTTTTTACACATCATGTGGTAAGGTCAAGAAAAAGTATTACATTTTACTAGCATTATTTTTTTATATAATTTATACTTTGTGTATTATAGCACATTTACTACAAGGTTAGTAAGTTTTGTTTAACATATTTTATCAATTGGCATTAAAGAAACCGTATTTCTAACGTTTCAAATGTCATAATTAACGAAACAATTACAATCATGCTGCTCATTACTTTAGTTCATTGCTTATTAATTAGAATATATTTAATCAAAGTACAAAAGAGCATTTTGAAACTATTTTAACTTTGCTGCCCTTCACAACAGGGTTCTTCAACTGGCGGCCCGTGAGCCACATTCGCCCACAAAAGACAATCAAGTGGTCTGCCAACAGTAAGCTAATATACATAGGGAAACAAATGTATAATAATTTCATTTTGAAAAATATTATACGTATGCGCGGTCCTACAGACATTTAATAATGTTTGTAATGGTACTCCGTTAAATGTTACACTGTCCTGTTATTAAAGTATTAATCATGTGCTGAAATTTGTTTAATATACTAACATTACTTTGTATAATATTTATTATGTCTCTTACAAATGTGCAGAGTAAAACACTTCAAGCCCATCTACTCCTAATTTTTTCTGCCCTCCTGCTTTGCAACACCTGAAGTACAACGGACATATTGAAAAATGTGTCTTAGAACACTTCTAAGTTATTCATTATGAACTTGTCAGATGTGTCTAAGGCTAATCCCGTGTTCAGGCAGTTGGACTCTTTCAATTAAAGGCAAAGGTTAGTTACTACTATTTTACAGCATTATACTGCATTTCACACCCGAGTTTGACCCATAAAAATCGCTCTTTTTGAGAATGCTCTTTGAGTCGACATCTGAGTAATATTCAATACCTGGATGTTATTTACATCAATATTTGAATTATGCTTGTTAGCTCATACCTGAAGAGACAAGCTCGCCATCACTAAAGTGCTGATCCGAATCAGATCTGACGTCGACATCAGATGCGTCGTTGAAGTCACCATCGGCACCGCTTAATTCAACTACATCGTCTATGGTGAAACTTTTGTGAACATGGACTATTGGTGAACTGGCGTGAGCATTTTGTGTAATAGTTTCTTTGCTAAAGGAAAATAATTTAAAAATATTATCTTAAAATGCAACAAATTATATGTAATAACTCTTATATATTTTGGATTTCTTTTTTCAACACATTAACGCCCATGAACAGACGCGTAGCTAGACAATGGCACACGGGGCCCGTACTCCAATTCTAGTTGACAGTGCCCCGAATCCACAGTTGGTGTCTTGAAAAATCAGAATAGAAAACCGTGATCAATATCATAGTGAAACGCCAAAATTTCCTGGCCTATGGGCCCGAGTCCCGAATCTTTTAAGCACCTAGCGACACCTCTGCCCATGAGTTATATATTTACACCTGAAGCTCTTTCAGCTAATTGATGATTCTATGAAATACTTTGGAAGTGGACATATCTAGGACTGGTTGGTTGGTAGTTTTAAATTTCGTGCAAACCTATACGAGGGTTATCTGCGCTAGCCGTCTCTTAGTTAGCAGCGTAAGACTAGAGGGAAGGCAGCTAGACATCACCACCCACCTCCAACTCTTGGGCTACTCTTTTACCAACGAATAGTGGGATTGACCGCCACATTATAACGCCACCACGGCTGAAAAGGCGAGCAGATTGCGAGTCGAGCGCCCTAGCCACCTGACCATGCTGGTCCGTATCTAGGACTGAAACGTAAAGAAAAACAATCGCATAATATATTTTATTATAACTGAAAAATTGATGCGACTTACATATATAACATATATCTTACATTTCGGAAACGTCAGTTGAAACCTTTACAACTTTCTAGTGCATAAGGTCGCCAGGCGTAAATGAGTTAAGTGTCGTTTTGTTAGTATATTATAATAACTATAGACATGGAATGTAACTTGTCATATAAAAAACACACACCATAAGAATGTTACTGTAAACCAAAACTATCTACAAGTAAAACATAAAAAAGGTGAAAACTGATAACTATTTTAAGATGTCAAACATATCTTTAACATCTTATGATAATTAAATTATCTGAAGAAGATTTATTACTTACTTTAATATTTCTTAAACTATCGTTTGTTTGTAATTAAGCACAAAGCTACACAATTGGCTATCTGTGCTCTGCCTACCACGGGTATTGAAACCCGGATTCTAGCGTTGTAAGTCCGCAGACATACCGCTGTGACACTGGGGGACTCTTAAACTAATTGACTGAACATATACGTATACTTCTTTGTATCAGGATTACCACATTTTAAATTAAAGGTTTCTGGTAAATAAAAAACAAATATGAATTAAATTTTCTGGTTAAGTATGGTAACATAAAATAAGAAGAGAAAGACTTTTAAAAGTTCAAAGAATAAAAAAATCACACCAAAAAACGTACCTGTACTTTGTTTTATGTATACCAAATTCAGATACTTCCTCATCTTCATGTTTATTTTTGCTCATTTTAGTAGAGAAAATTGTCGAAAGATGTCGCTTAAAATTTTTGGACGTGTCGTCTTGCTCTTCATCTGAAAATCGGATCTCCGGAACTGTGCCATCAGCAAATTGTACTATTTCAAACGGAACTTCATACTCAGCAAAGAGATTTTCTGTTTGAGTAGGATAAACAATAAAATAAAAACACATCATATATGTATACTCATACACATTAATTTCAACATATATATACTGAATTTTATCTATTGAGAACTCCTTGATTTTGATTTAATAGAATAAAACTCTATTTTAATGGACGATATTTTTATAAAACATGTTTGTTTTTTGAATTTCGCGCAAAGCTACACGAGTGCTATCTGCGCTAGCCGTCCCTAATTTAGCAGTGTAAGACTAGAGGGAAGGCAGCTAGTCATCACCACCCACCGCCAACTCTTGGGCTACTCTTTTACCATCGAATAGTGGAATTGACCGTCACATTATAACGCCCCCACGGCTGAAAGGGCGAGCATGTTTGGTGTGACAGGGGTTCGAACCCGCGACCCTCAGATTGCGAGTCGAGTGCCTTAACCACCTGGCCATTTTATAAAACATCCCAAAACACACAAGTATAGTTTACTATTAAGTACATAGATGGCACAACCTGCCTAATTAACTGTCATTAGCTTGTTTTTTTAGGTTAAGCGCAAACTTACACGATGAGCTGCTTGGCTATTCATGCTCTGTCTACTAAGGGTATCGAAACTCGATTTTTAGTGTTTAATTCATCAGATTAACACTGAGCTACCAGAGTTGCTGCCATTAGTATAATCTACTACTTTTCCCATTTATAAATTATTGTTGCAGAAGTTAACATTTATAGGAAATTAATTCATGTTGCTAAGCTTTTGCAGTTCGTGTTTAGTAACAGTAAATCTGATAGGATATATTTTGTTAGGTAATTTTGTTTTTCAATACCAAAAAAAAAAATAAAAAATGGGGTAACTGACTAGCATACCAGGACATAAGATTTCAGTAGTTATAAGGAAAATTAGCTTAATATATGTAATTTTTTTAAAGTTAAGAGAATAGGCCGTCAGACGCACCCACCCATGATGTAGTAATGCAAAGTTTTGCTTCGCTTTCCACGGTGAAGATTTAGTAAAAAACGGTTTAATCAGAGGATAAGCCCAACAAAGATGTAATATAAAATTGAAAGTAAAGGAGGCGTACCTCCACGCAGAAATCCAAGTCCTACATTGTTTAAAAATGATTCATGTGTTTTTTATTCAATTACGTTCTATTATAAACAACATAAAATACTACTTAGATATATATTGTATTGCGATGGCGTGTTCAGTAACGTACGATCAGAAGATCGACTTGAACGGTGATCAGGAGATTAGTTTAATGGTAACAATGTTCTATAAAGTTGAATAACAATGTTAATTTTTCTGCTATTTTTAGAGCGAAACAGTTCAAAAATTACGAGTTGTTGTAAGTTAAACCTTTTAGACTCAATATAATATATTAATTTTATATAATATTTAATATAGATCAAACTAACTCGCAGAGGCTTGTCAAATTTCAATAAAATTTTTATTCATTTACAGATTGTTTTTACCCTTTAGAAAGATCACAAATGATAACCCCTATTTTGGTTCTGGCGCGAGAATATTTGTTTGTTTTGAATTTCGCGCAAAGCTACACGAGGTCTATCTGCGCAGTGTAAGACTAGAAGGAAGGCAGCTAGTCATCACCACCCACCGCCAACTCTTGGGCTACTCTTTCACCAACGAATAGTGGGATTGACCGTCACATTATAACGCCCCCACGGCTGAAAGGGCGAGCATGTTTGGTGTGACGGGGATTCGAACCCGAGACCCTCAGATTACGAGTCGAGCGCCTTAACCACCTGGCCATGCCGGGCCACGCGAGAATGTAAACATCGTTTTATAAACATAAGAATAATGGCACTCTAGCATTTAGAACAGGTTTAGACTTAGTAAGATTTTGTATATAGAGACTCAGAACTTTTCCTCCTCCCCTCCCCAGCAGCTAAGCGATAAATCTACGCACAAATAACGCTAAAAATCATGTTTCGATACCTGTGATGGGCATAGCACAGATAGCTCATTATATTGTTTTGAGCTTAACTACAAACAAAGAGAAATTTTCATTTAACGATTGTTATAGATAACTTGGTTGAAGCTAATACTATGTCCCTTAATTAAGTATATTTTATTCCATTATCATTGGATTATCCTTGTTATTAATCCTCTGAAAATGTAAAAAACTAATTTAAAGACTGCAAACGACACAAATACATTTAGTGTTTAGAATGTAGTCCGCTGGCTGTGTGAGTCTGTTTCAAATAGTGATGATTTATTACATACAAAATAATAAAATATGAAAAGTCAGACTTTAAACTTTTCAATTCTAGCATAAAGCTTATTTCTAACAATGTGGTACAGTATTAAACGCAACAGAATATAGCATTTGAAATTATTTGAAAACTCGGACTAATCGTTATAACCACTATCCTCAAGTTAATAGGCAGACGAAATCAGTAAAAGTTTAACATTTAATTTTGAGTAACATACCAACAAAAGCAGAAAAGCTACGAACAAGAATTTCCCAAAACCCGAATCTTAAATATTTTTGAAGATAACGAATTTCTGATACTGTGAGTTTGGTTATCACTTTTTCTATGTATTACGATGATGACATTAATCGAGTGAAAACAACCGGTAGTTACCACTAGTATTTTTTGTACAAATTAAAACATTAAAATGATACTTCTTAAGATTTTTTTTTTCACGAGTGAAGGTAAAAAAATGTATTATATTTTTCGAATCATTAAAATAAATACTTAGAAAAAAACAGAAGAATCACCACAAAACCTGGAGAGGATAAAAATAGAACAACAATAATAAATATGTTATTGCTGGTAAAGACGGAAATGTTTATATAACTATAAATAAACGTTCGCCCCAGTTCTATATCGCCTATACCCTTCCCGCTAATTAAAAAAAAAAGGATAAGAAAAAGGCAATGCTGCTCATGCGGTGTTCTTGGACCAATAAACGTGCGAAGCTTTTCTTCCGCAGATACCAATTCATAAAGTACTACTTTTTCCCTACAGGCTTCGTGTACATTGGTTGCCCTATTTATTTTAACTTAAGTTCTCGTACTAGGGTTAAGCGGCCTTATTTTTAACGCACTTTTTTGTGTTAATTTCATGTAATAATACGTTTAAAATCAAAAGATATTTGAAACCTAATACTGGTCAACTAAGTCAGTACAAGTTAATCTATACTTTTCATCTCTAAAATTTCTTCTCAAGTAAGGCCTACGTATTTTATTTATACGGAAATCTCGTTCGTATTTACTGGCAGTCCAATTTGTCTCGCTTCCTGACACAAATTAGTAATTAATTTTATCATATTTTCTATAATCATAATTCTAGTTTATTTGGTAAAATAAGCTACCCACCGAGCTGAACTTGAGATTCAATAGTAAGGCTGAACAAAACAACTAAAACAGTCTAGATGAAGAGCTGAAAACTTGTCTGATAACGAAACTAATCAAATATATATTTTAAACGTTACGAAGTTTTGTTCAAAAATAGAAGGTTCGTTTTCTGAACATTATCAGCGCCTACTCCTTCTTTACAAGTAAAAGGCATTCTACTAGCCTTCCAAACATCACCAAATCCCACTATAGAAATTGAAGGTATTCTGCTAGTTTTTTAAGCATCATCAGCTCTTATTTTACAAATAAAAAACATTGTGTTAGTTTTCCGAACATTACCAACTCCTATTGTACAAAATGAAGGCATTATGTTTGTTTTTCAAGCATCACCAGCTCCTGCTTTGTAAATAGAAATAGTTCTGCTAGTTTTCCAACATCACCAGTTCTTATTTTACGAATTCAGCTAGTTTTCTAAACATCAGCAGTTCCTTCTTTACAAATTGAAAGGAATTTGCTAGATTTGCAGACTTCACCAGCTCCTTATTTACAAGTTGAAAACACTCTGTAATTAAATCACAATATTTAATTAAACAATACTTTAAACACTTTGCACCAGAACCTGCAACAATAGCCACAGAAAATAATAAAAATAACTCCACCGAAGAGGCCAAGCGGTTTTAAAAATTATATCTTCTTCACAGGGATAAACAAGAAGCTACACTTCGAAAGTGCTAGGTTGTAAAAACGGTTTCTCTTTTAAGGTGTTTGAGCTTCTGGGCCGGTTTATAAACATTTTGATAACTTTGTAGTAGTTGAAACTACCTAACTTCAATATGAATTGAAAATAATGACATTTATTGGAGAGAGGATGTGAATACATAAGTTGATTGGAATATGTATTAGATTTCAGTTTCATAGAAGGTGTAATCGACTGTATTATATGCGAAGTAAGACTTATGTAATAGGGACAAATATATCAAACGCTAATGGCTTTCTCTCGAACGACAATTTCATTAATCTGATGGAGATGAGCTACTTAAGCTTAGAAGTTATCCAAGTTGGAGAATGTATTATTAGAAAATGTTGAATTTAGTACGTTATAATTTTCAAAAGGGCTTTTAACTATTCAGATGTGATTTACAAAACCGATATACAACCGCTAAAGACAACGTTTTGTTGTTGTTGGTTTTCGGATATTCGTGCAAGGCTGCACATGGGTTATCTGCGCCAGGTGTCGGTAATTTTAAACTATTATATTAGAGGGAAAATAGCTAGTTAACAGCACCCACCGCTAACTCTTGATATACACTAACCACTGGAATAACTCAAATGAATGATAAGGGTAGTAGTTTGTCGGTAAATGTAACTGAAAAAACATTGTGGATAATAAAGTTAAACAACATACCAGTTTTCTCACTGCTTTCTTCGATTTCTTGATCTTCCACGCTAAAGTAGGAATGAAAAGAAAATGGTGTTACTATTCCTAATAAATCTTCATATAATAATTCCTTAATGAAAGTATACAAATATGCAGCATATATATATATCTATATGTGTGTATGTGTAATACGATGTCATTTGTTGGATAGAAAGGTTACTAAGTGTTATATGTTTGTCGCTTCAAGATGATAATTTTCTTAAGTCAAGTATTCAAAGGGTATCATTAGGGCGGGGTTGGGTAATGATGTGAGCATGAATCTACTATTAACCACAAATAAGCATTATTTCCACAAGCTCCCATATGTATTTGCAGGTTAACAGGAAGGGAAATATCCTTAGCACAACCATAATGTCTTTTAACATACTGAATGACTAATGTTCTCGTTTCTAGTTCTGCACCATTTGATCATGAAAACGACGTACCGTATAAAATCACATTCTGCCAGGATAAATCTTTCATGTTTTCATTGACACTAGCTATTGTGCAGTTAAATAATGTGAAAAACTGAATAGTGGCCAATGACACTTTTTCTTCACTTCACTTATCCAGTGTATAGCCTTTTCTCATAGTAACTACAAAGCACTTTCACACCAACTGTGTGTTTGGCACTGGGGCAGCTGACCAGGCTTTAGAAACAATGCTGCGGCTGTTGGTTCACACCTACATGCTTCTAGCCAGTTTGATACAGTACGAAACGGTGTTTAAACAGAAGGATTCAAATGACAGGTCTATCTTGTTTTATATGATAAGGTCCAAAAATGGTTGATAAAAGGGTTTACATAGAGTATGGATAAATAACTTTACTTAAGTAATGAATATATAGTATCCAGATTATTTTTAAAGTTTACGTGAATATTTATTTCAACATAACTTGTTCACCATGGAGTTCTCGTCATAACATGAGCAATTTTACTTGCGCCCCTCAATATGACATCAGTATGTTTGCAAACGTACAGCGCTAAAAATCAGGGGGTCGATTCCCCGTGGTGAATAGCAAACAGCCTAATGTGGCTTAATGTATATATATATATATATATACACACACACACATGTACACATATCTTTAAAGGATACACCATGACCAAAAACGAACCATCATAAGAAAAACGACGCCCCCCCCCTTCAAGGAACCCTCGTGACTCCCATGTATTTTACACAAAATTTGATATTGATGTATTTCACTTTCATTATTTCAAAGTCACCGTTGATGCGGTTAAAAATACTTACATTTCGTTTCTTTCTGAGACCTCGGAAGAAACGTTTCTTAGCTTCATCAAATAGAGAAGGGCTGTGTCGTTGTACTGACCTTCACTGTCATCTGTTTAAATAGTATTAAAATATATCGCGTCTTGATACTGACCTTCATTGTCATCTGTTTAAAAAATACTAAAATATACTTATTCTGACATTAAACTTCTGTCACATGTTCAGTTATACTAAAATAACTATCTTGGATATGGTCATGTATTGGTACTGACTTTCACTGTCATCTGTTTTAAGAACACTAGGATAGAACCATGTCTTGGTACTGACATTCACTATCATCTGTTTTAAGAACACTAGGATAGAACCATGTCTTGGTACTGACATTCACTATCAACTATTTTAAGAACACTAGGATAGGGCCATGTCTTGGTACCGACTTTCACTGTCATCTATTTTAAGAACACAGAGACAGGGCCATGCCTTGGTACCGACTTTCATTGTCATCTATTTTAAGAACACAGAGACAGGGCCATGTCTTGGTACCGACTTTCACTGTCATCTATTTTAAGAACACAGAGACAGGGCCATGTCTTGGTACCGACTTTCACTGTCATCTATTTTAAGAACACAGGAGACAGGGCCATGTCTTGGTACCGACTTCCACTGTCATCTATTTTAAGAACACTGAGACAGGGCCATGTCTTGGTACCGACATCCACTTTCACTTGGTAATGTATTTATTATGTTTTTCAAAACTAAAACCCTTCTTTATGATGCACTACAGAAAGTGATACAAGTAGCAAAGGTAAAGTCCACTTAATCCTAAACATATGTTACCATCTCACATCCTTAATTATAGGATTTTCCTTCAAAATTATTCGAATATACGTCTCTTAATTATTTCCTGTTTTAATTATCAGTAAAACGGAACTTACGACCCAAGCAGCGGACATAGAGCTCGGCCGAAATTAGTATGTGATTTCTTTGTTGCCCCCAGAGCATGCCCTTCCCTTGATAGTGATAGTGTGACACCTCTTCAGGCTGTAATAAAGGCATTTTGAATCAATAAAACGTGCATTTTTCCTAGGCTTGTGTTAATTTTACCTTAGAAATTGCAATTAAAATTAAATGCTCTAAAACACATAAAACTGTTATATTTGTGATACATTCATCTTCCCAGGAGCCTGATCAAGTTGGGAGTTTACTTGGTCATCATCAGACTAGATGTTTTGTTTTATCTCTGGTAGACTAAAATGGTAGTCTAAGTAGCATTTTGAAGTATTGGGCCACTAAAGTGTTTAATGTTTTTAAGTCCATGCCTTAAATCTGTGTTAAACGTATTACATTATGTTTTTAGATTCTATTCATGGTTCCAATGTTTAAAATACAATTGTATTTTGAAGAGAATTTGTGCATCTATTCATCATGGTCTTCGAAATTAATGATGATAAATTTTAATTGCTGTAGTTTTAGCACGTTCTTTCACTTATTTATTTATAGTCGCAATATTAATTTCAAGATTATCTATTTGTGAAGTGTTTGTAGCTTGGTTTTGTCTTCAACTTATGTTGTTGTTTTTTTTTCAGAAAAATGTAACCTGACCTTCTACTAGGTCAACACAGGATTTGAATTTTCACTAAGTTAGAAGAATAAACTGTTTTCCCAATGGTCAACTATTAGAGTGTTAGATGTAATGTTAACAATTTCATATTACGTTTATGAAAAGAGGATAAAAAAAACAGGCTTTTACTTACTTTGCATTCCAAATTCATCAAAAGATCTTTCTTGACTGAAAGAGGGGCCGCAGCCAAAATGGCTGGTTTGGTTTTTACTGCAGATCCCATTACTGGTCGTTGACCAAAGCTAATGGTCAGCCATACTAACAGTAACCTTAAGATTACTGTTTGTAAAGTCATTTTAGTAACCTATATTTAGTATACCAAAGTTTGACTGAAAGTGTCAACGGTGAATGTTTCTCAGCTTACTGAATTCATTTTTATAGGTGCATTTAAAGATAAAATTTAAAGTGCTCTAGATAAATAGACAAAAAGCCTTATGTTGTATTAAAATAAATAACGTAACCTTTGCACTTTATACTTGCGAAATATCACCATAAAAGACTCTTTATCTGTTAAACTGAAGGTTAATCAATGTTTGTTAGCTTTTTTTATTTGCCCACTCTCATGAATTAATCATGTAAACCTGAACAAAAATTTACTTATTGGTTGTTAATTATTTTCATGAAATCCGAAAGATAAATTTCTGGAAGAAATCCTTGAACAATACTTTAACTTTAACAAAGTCCAAGATGTGATAAAGCTGAAATGATAACTCCAGATTTTCAAACAAAGTCTTTGAGTATTTAAGTGGTAATTCGTTTTAAAGATTAGATAAATAGTGTATTTACTCATAATTTTTGTTAATCAAATAAACTTTATAAAATAACTATAATCAATGATTTTCAAAGGCACTTCACGAACTTAGAAGGGCGTTCAAATGAAGTGAGTTTGCTGCAGTTAATATCTTGTTTTATAGGTTTAGAAACCGAAGTGTAAGTTTAAGATAGAATATTTAATTTCATGAAAAACATATCATTCTAAAGTTTTTGAAAAATAAGGGATTAGATCTGTTAAAACAATTGAAATTATAAGACAGAGCTGACATAAATATGGATATATCAAGGACTCCTTCATAAAATATTTAATTATTAGGTGGGAGAGCCAGAATTACAAAGGATTTTACTCGCTCTAAGAAGTTTTGATCAGGCTGCATTAGTCTGAAATTTATCTTTATGCTTGTGTATGAGTAAGATCGGTCACGAATATTTAACACTTTATAAAAACAAAAGAGTGAAGTAAAAATCGTGAAAAATAACGAATGGAAATTCGATATTTTTTTTGTAGTTCGAAATGTTCAATTAAAAAAATTTAAATGGATCTCTATAAAATAAATGTATCATTAACGTCCTTTGTAGTAGCTTCATGAATATATCTGAAATTTAAAAGTTGCTGCTTGGAGTGCCAAGTTTTCTTTGACATTCATATCCGATTTAACTAAGAGCGAGAAAAGTTATTAGTGTTTTTTAGAATATCAAGAACAATATTCTAAACCATAGTGACCATAAATTGTGAGATGGTCCTTCAGCTCGAGTTGTGGCACAATTGTCCTACGATTCTTGCAACTTGAGAACACCAATAACCACTGGCTTCCTTCTACATGCAACTAATAAACAAGTACAATATTACGTTCATATTATGAGTTTTCAATCCATTTTAATTACATTTTTTATTTTGATAGAGATACAATTTCATTCTCATGTAATTGCAAAAAACTTCGCTTGACGAACTATTTTGTAAGTTATAATATAATTTTTTCAAACACAAATTACAAACTTTGTAGACTGAGTAAAAAGTTGTAATTATTTGATCTTGAAATCCTTTATATACACCTGGTAATGTTATTTAGTAATAATTAGTTTCATTTTCTTCCTTTTGGGAGCGCCCTTTTATTGTTAGTAAAATCCAGGAATTGATGGTAGGTACTATTGATTAGTTGTCTTTCATATATTCCAACAGCTCAAAATTATGGATGATTGTGCAAAGATAGTTTTCGAGTAGTTTTTCGCGAAAATCTTGAAACAGCTTTTTTGTTGTTGTTTATTATATACGTGGTACATAAAACACTGTTGGAAACGACACCTGTGGTTAATCTATATAAATATAACAGTTATGTATGTTGTATGTCCATGTAACTACTTTGCAGGGTTTAGATGAATCTTCACCAAAATTAGTATGGAGGTTCATTAGGTCCGTGGTGGAGGGGGAAAGGGTACATACAAGTTTTCAGTTTTGTGTTTTGCGGATTTTATGTGCGTTTTTACCACTATTTGTTTACAGTTACATACAAGGGGAGCAACTTTTCGCGTCCTAAGATAACCTTTCATTAATTAGGAATTTACATAACGTCCGTCCAGGGGACGGTTATTCCAACTAGTAATCCAATATTGCCTCACAGAGTAACTTTAGAGCTAATTGTTGGCTTATATAATGCTTTTGTTATTACTAATGATTTTTTTCTTGACAATCATTATCTTATATTAAACATGTCAAATTAAAATAAAAACTTTTAGAAAGTGTAGTCAATTAATGTTGTGCCAGGCGTGGCCTACTGGAAAGCGTGTCAGGCTGCGAATTATAGAATCAGAGGTTGGAGACGTGATGCCATACACATGCTCCATACTTTAATATGTGAACGTATTGTTAAAGTTACAGTCAATGCTGTTATTCGGTGCAAAGAGCCGAATAAAGCCCTTGTGGTGGTGGGTGTTGCTGACTGTCTTTCCTCTGGTGAGTGGTTCAAATTAGGGACTGCTGTGCTTGAATCTCAGGGGCCTTTTGACTTGGTTATTTAGGCTACGTGAGCATGAGGTGTCTTTAGACTGAAAATTTCATTTACAGTTAATGTTAGTCCTAAAATTCAATGAATACGCTGAATATACGGACAGTACTTATAAGCTAGTCCAAACCAAACAATATGATAATTTTCTTTGTGTGTTTGTCGTTAAGCGCAAAGTTACACAAGCTGTCTGTGCTTGATAACTCGGTTTTTAGCATCGTAAGCCTATACACTTACTGCTGACCCACTGGGGGCAACAATATGATAAAAGACAATTTTTTATTGTAATAAATGTGTTTAGAAATGATACGTTTATCGTAGCATAAAAGACAAGCAGTTAGTCTGCGAACAATTCTTCCTTGCTTCTAGAGTATAAAATGTATAGCTTAGTCATGCAGAGGATAGGAAAGCTATGTCCTCTGTTCTTGTACATATGCTCCTTTACAATAACTACAGAATTGAATAGACTTTTTATTTGCTTATGAAAAAAAGTTCAGGACTTAACTTCAATCTTGTTTTATATTCTCTTTTTCTAAAAATGCACGTAATTGCTCATTGTTTTGAAAAAAGTTAAAAACCAACGAATCATCTGATCCAGACCAATGTCACTTGACGACACTAATGTTTCTAACAATAATAATAATATGTTGGAAAATCCGAACAGCGTGACAAATGATAATTGTCCATATTTTTATATTTCTCTCTCTCTCTCTAGTAGTTATTAGATTTCGTGTTTGTTTTTAGCTGGTACTAGCGAACTTTGACCACTGTGTCTAAAACCTTGCCCTTAATGTATTTTATTCAGTAAAATCATTTTTAGATATTCTGATAGTTTTATGAGTTATTAAAAATGTGTCCGCATCTTTAGTACATTTTTAAAAATAAAAGATAACGTGTTTAACGCCAAACACTCAATAATAATATATTTACCCCCCTAGTGGCTCTGCAGACTTACGATGCTAACAATCTGGCTCCAATACCGTGGTGGGCAGAGCACAAAAGAGCCCATTGTGTAGCTTTGCGCTCAACAACAAACCAATAATATCTTATGTTATAAAGTAAAGACTACCAAAGTCTAGTAATGCAAAAGATAACAATGTATTTTCTTACTCGTTATCTAATATTACGATAAACAACTTCAATATAACAACTGTACAAGGATACCTTTATTAATTCGTGACTAAAATATATTAACCATGTAAAAGATTGATAATGCAAACATCCTACCGTACATACTGCACGGTCATGAAATTGTCTTTCGAGATTCTAGGAACGGATGCTAATTGTTGTATATGAACAACTTATGTAAAGGCTTGAAAAAAAGAAAAATATATATAACACAAAGCTATAGATATAGATATTGACGTATGAGTTGTTAACATACATCAATATCTATATCTATAGCTTAAACGGGTTTTTCTCTATGGCATTTATATATATCTATGTATATACACAAGCTGAGGTACCCGTGTTTTGTCCGAGTTATGATGTGGGGGTGGATTCTATAATAAATAATATTAACATCCTAACTTTCACACAAGTTAATTATAACATAACATATTATTACAATATTCATTATTACCTTACCTTAAAACATGGTATACACTGTGTGATGGTCATGGTGACTTTGTACAAAGAGGTAACGTCCAAAGTAGTGGCGATATGGGTGCTTTCTATTACCCGCTTTCAACACCTACCGCTTAATGTCTTTCCCCACTGTTTGACGTTATTAATTAATTGACGGTCATTGGGCGCAGAAGTGACTTATGGAATGAAGTTGTAAGGTCACGGGTCAAAGTAGGAAGTGGGTATAATTAAATATCAGCCTTATGGTGGCTGTTGGAGTAGAATGTTCAATTGAGTTTATGTATTATTGCAATATTGAATATCATTTTTTTCATTGCAAATCTAGATAGAGTCTCTGAGATATATAAGACGCTTGTGTGCCCTCTCTCCACACTGTGTGTATGTTGTGCTATAGAAAATTTAATGTGTGTGTATTTTCTCATAGGAAAGCCACAGCGAGCTATCTGCTGTGTCCACCGAGGGGAATTTAACCCCTGATTTTAACATTGTAAATCTGAAGACTTATTGCTGTTTCACCGTGGGATGGAAAAGTTAATAATATTTTTGCTGTTTAGTGTAAGAACTTGGCGCTGTATAGGAATATAGTTAACGTTAACTTACGTCAAAGATGATAAATGCTCAATAACATCAATAATGGGGGTGGAGGTGTTATGACTCCCATTAACATACCTCTTGTTCAAAACTATCAACCCACAAAGTTTGGTTGACATTAGCCCAATGATCTAGGAGTAGTTAGATAAGGGACAAACAGATAGAC